CCATGATAAGGAGAAGCTGAGCCTAAGGATGTCGAAAGTGACCTCCTCACAAATGAATGGTGTAAGAGCTCAGCAGCTGTTGGGCGGTTATTTGCATTGACTTGTAGGCATTTCAGGATAAAATCTCGTGCATCGTTTGACAGAGTATTAGGAACAGGTGGTGGTTCTGGTTCTTCCTTGCAAAGTTTCCATAATGCCTGCTGCTGTTTGAGTTACAAAAGAAAAAATATGTTAACAAACAGGAAATGGTACTGCAAAGTTGTAGTTGCAAACTTGCAACAATGGGAAGAATAAAATACTATTTTCAGGTTATGGAGGGGGCTGGCAATCTACACTCGACACACTAGCAAATAGGCGTTTAATTGAACCAATACAAGTCAATACAATGCCAAGCTCAGTCTTGACTCTGTTAACCTTATACAAGCTAGAGCTTGAGCATGCTTCTTATGTCTAAGCTTGAGTTTGGCTTGATTAACTTTACATAGACTAAAGGTTAACTAATAAACATTAATTACTTTATAATTAATTATTTTTTCAAGCAATCTCTCTTCTAGTTCTATATTTCTTTTTCTTTTTGTCTTTTCCTGGTTTTTTTATTTATAGTTTTTACTTGTGAATAAAAGTCCTTATTTTTCGAGAAAAGAATAATGGCTGAAAAAATAAGTGCCTACCAATTCCCAAGGTGAGTACGGATTCTCACGGGTTAACATCTCCAACACGGTGCAACCAAGGCTCCATATATCAGCAGAAAGCTTATAGCATTTGTTCCCCCCCTTTGCAACCTATGATTGCACAACTGATAATCAGAAAGACTATATATTTTTTAGCACAACTTCAATCATAACTCAAGACTGATCCATACAAACAAAGGCTTAAGCCATTTTCTTCAAAATTGCAGCTATTTAAATTAACTCTTGGAAAACATAATTTATTAATTCTAAGGGGAAATATATAGACCAACCTCAGGGGCCATCCAAAATACAGAGCCTTTAAAAGATTTGGCATCACTCAAATTAGTGTCCTGAAAATCAACAAATCAGAAAATTTGTGTCACAAAAATCACAATAATTCAAAAGCTACTATGGGGAAGAACATAGTTTTAGAATGGAACAAAACCTTTGCCGCTCCAAAATCTGCAAGTTTCACAGATCCCCTTGCATCCACCAATATATTTGCACATTTAATATCCCTTTGATACAAGAAAAGAACAAAATTGAGCTTAGACAAACTCACCTAATAGTATAGTGCCCATTAGTCCACTAAAAACTACAAATGCCAGGTCAATACAAAATTGAACAAATGTTAGTAGTATAGACACTATGTCCAACCTTATCGCATAAAAATAATTAAAAAAATGGAGAAAAGATTTGAAAAAATATAAAGATATTTTTCTGCCGCACTAAAATGAGCAACGCATATTGTTCCTCCTTTAAATCACCAAAAAGAAACCAAAACGTTTTGTCACGCAATTAAAGTTTCATACATTTCTGAAATTTTTGCTTTTAGCATACTAAGCAATTGATATTCAACTATTCAAAAGTAATATGAATTTCATATTTAATATGCAGACATTTTACCTGTGAACCACATGTCTGTCATGAAGATAGTTCAGTCCGTGCAGAATCTGTCCTGTGTAGGAAGAGACTTGAGAATCTTTAAGTTTACACTTCCGATAGAGTTTTACTAGGGAGCCTTGTGTCGCGAGCTCAAGGAAGATATATAACTTTGATTCATCCTAGAAAGACCATAAAATGAAGAAAAAAAGAGTTAGTATATAGATTCATAAAACTGAATTGAAGTTAGCAAGGCATTGGCAGTCTAATTTTTATGATCCTGTATCCTACGAGAAATTCTAATAAGTTCGGGATAAAAAGTTCCAATGTAAACATAAGATCAATGACTTGGTAACACATGAACCATCAATAGAGCGGAAGGCCTCATGTACTGGGTACCTTGTTGACAATTCTTTACAGCTCATTTCACAGAAGTTTCAAATGGAATAAACAGCATTAACCTTTCCCACATTAATATTAACACTAATAATTTAATATATAATAACTATTTTATAGTATTTAATTTATCTTATATT